TCAGTGGCAACAAGGAGAGTGAATGGAGGTGAAAGTCTTTAATGAACATCAGCCAACAGGATCCAGCAGGGATTACACTGAGACCTCATTCAATACAATCCTCCACTGGCCCCTACTGGCCCCCACAATCCTCCACTAGCCCCTACTGGCCCCTACAATCCTCCACTAGCCCCTACTGGCCCCCACAATCCTCCACTGGCCCCTACTGGCCCCTGCTGGCTGCTGGGGTGTGTGTGTGCCTTTGTGTTAGTATGTTTGTGAGGACCAGTTGGAGGTGTGTTCAGTTCAGGCTGAGGAATGTGAGTACAAATACTCAGTGTAACTGTAGAAAAAGTACTAATACTACAGAGTACAAATACTCGGTTACAATGTTACTGTAGTTCTTCTGTTGTAGATTTCAAGCAGAAAACTACATGGATTCATCTTCATCTTCAAGGAAAAATGAAAACAGCAGAAAAAAAACAGATCCAATCTCTTCTTCTTTGGTCTCAGGTCACTTTCAGCCAATCAGACGTTTGGTCTCCAGGTAACCATGGAGACGGAGAGTCTGCTACAGGATGTGAGGAATGTGCTGACAGTAAACACGACGCTGCTCGGGGTCAAAGGTCAACAGAAAGCTGATTATTCACAGGGAGGTGTTCAGTTTGCTTGCTGAGGTCTTCTTCTGTGGTGGTAAACTGCAGCAGGGTCAAAGGTCACAGCACCTAATTTAAACTAAGATTGCACCTAGTCTGATCTTTGGAGCTGCAGTGCAGACAGAAGTTCATTCAAAATCTACTTGTTTTAAGAACTTGTCTCTAAACTGGATTCCACCACTGAGAGCAGGAACGACTAATGATGAAAGTGTCCATAAATTATTACAATATTTTCTTCTTTTGTTTGTTTTTAAAACAATAAAGAAATTTATTTTTCCTTTGTCTGATCAGGTTTGACTGTTTTTAACCAACTAATGAGATTGAAAATCAGGATTTTATTGCATGAAGTTTGGTCTGACTCCACCAGAGTGTGCAGATGTTGTCCACTGGGTCCTGAAGGAGTTCCACCAGGCCCTGAGGGGGTTCCACTGGGTCCTGAAGGGGTTCCACTGGTCCTGAAGGCGTTCCACTGGGTCCTGAAGGGGTTCCACTGGGCCCTGAGGGGGTTCCACTGGGTGCTGAAGGGGTTCTGGTCCTGAAGGGGTTCCACTGGATCCTGAAGGGGTTCCACTGGGTCCTGAAGGGGTTCCAACGGGTCCTGAAGGGGGTCCACCAGGCCCTGAAGGGGTTCAACCGGGTCCTGAAGGGGTTCCACTGGCTCCTGAAGGGGTTCCACAGGTCCTTGAAGAGGTTCCAGGACAAGAGGTTGTTTCCATAGAGCTCATAGAGTGGGTCCTTAAGATGTTTCCAGGAGCCTCAGGGAGTCTCAGGGGTCATTTAAAGGGTTCGGGGAAACTTGGGTCCCTAAGAGGTTCCAAGGGTTCTCAAGAAGTGTTAAATGTTCCTTAAGAAGGTTCCATAGGGCCTTGAAGAGCCTCCATCTGTCCCTGAGGGGTTCAAGGTCTCCTCTGAAGATCAGGAATAAACAGAAAGCAAAGAGCTGAGAAAGAGAGTTCAATCCAAACTGTTTAGACTGTTGCTGTGATGATGTTGTTGTGCTGATGTTGCTGTGATGATGTTGTTGTGCTGATGTTGCTGTGATGATGTTGTTGCTATGATTATGTTGCTGTGATGTTGTTGCTGATATGTTGTTGCTGTGTTGATGATGTTGCTGTGATGTTGTTGCTGTTATGTTGCTGTGAGGATGTTGCTGTGATGTTGTTGCTGTGATGATGATGTTGCTGTGATGTTGTTGCTGTGATGATGATGTTGCTGTGATGGTGTTGCTGTGATGATGTTGTGATGATGATGCTGTGATGATGTTGCTGTGAAGTTGTTGCTATGATGTTGTTGCTGTGATGATGTTGCTGTGATATTGCTTTGATGATGTTGCTGTTGTGTTGTTGCTTTGATGTTGTTGTGATGTTGCTGTGATGTTGTTGTGATGATGTTGTGATGATGTTGCTGTGATGATGTTGCTGTGATGTTGTGATGATGTTGCTGTGGTGATGTTGCTGTGATGATGTGGTGATGTTGCTGTGGTGATGTTGCTGTGATGATGTTGCTGTGATGTTGTGGTGATGTTGCTGTGATGATGTGATGATGTTGCTGTGGTGATGTTGCTGTGATGATGTTGCTGTGATGTTGTGATGGTGATGTTGTGATGATGTTGCTGTGATGATGTTGCTGTGATGATGTTGTGATGTTGCTTGAAGTTGCTGTGATGATGTTGCTGTGATGTTGTTGTGATGTTGCTGTGATATTGTTGCTTTGATGTTGTTGTGATGATGTTGCTGTGATGTTGTTGCTGTGATGATGTTGCTGTGATGTTGCTGTGATGATGTTGTTGCTGTGATGATGTTGCTGTGATATTGTTGCTTTGATGGTGTTGTGATGTTGCTGTGATGTGATGCTGTAATGTTGTGATGTTGTGATGTTGCTGTGATGTTGTGATGATGTTGCTGTGATGTTGTTGTGATGATGTTGCTGTGATGTTGTTGTGATGTTGCTGTGATGTTGTTGTGATGTTGCTGTGATGTTGCTGTGATGATGTTGCTGTGATATTGTTGTTGTGATGTTGCTGTGATGATGTTGCTGTGTTGTTGTTGCTCAAAGTGTTGCTCAGTGGACTGTTTATTGAAGCTGCAGCTGTTTGTTGCGCAACCTGTTGCTGCTCTCCACATGACTGACTGTTTACTGGACACACT